TGAATTAATTATCTGATGAACGTGACATGCTCTTGCTCTCTGTAAATAAAGCAAAGCCACTTCCTCGTCCGACATTAAACAGAGCCCGACAGAGGAGGGAGGGGCGGGGCGGCTGTTGTCGTGCAGCGCTTCAAGAGCTGACCTGCGTCTGACCTCAAAAGTGCACAAGCTTCAAACTTCAGCGTTGGCTGCGATTTTGAAGCTGAAATCGCGTTCGGTGTGAACGCAGCATTAGAGTTGTGTATGGGACTCCGGAGCGGCGAACCGGTCGTGACCAGGAAGTGACTCAACACGAAAAAAACTCGAGTAAAATGGAAGTTTACATCAGTAACTACATTATTTATTTTACTCATCACAAAACATATATACAATATTTTTTCGAAACATTTATTTCGAAACATTTATAACGTTTTATTTAGTTATTTTATTTATTTTTTGAGTATAACAAACTAGTGGTGGGGCGGCACCCTATTGCCCCCTACCAAACAGCTGCTGCCGATTCAAACCATCATCTCTGTAGTTGCTTCTGTAGTTGCTTCTGTAGTTGCTTCTGTTGTTACTTCTGTAGTTACTTCTGTAGATGTTTCTGCCGACTCCAGGACGACCTGGAAGGTAAAGAAATCCCCAGTCTTAATGTACAACCACCACGCGTTGATGGAGATCAACGTGGACAGAAATGAAAACAGYAACGAGTGGCTTACCTCCTGCCTCTGCCAGCATGGTGAGCTCAGGATTGATGTCCTGGTTGGCCTCCTGCAGAACAGAGATCAGGTCCCTGGCCTGCCTCATGTTGTCTGGTGTGAAGAAGGTGTGGGCCGTGCCCGTCTTCTGGCACCGACCCGTTCTGCCAATGCGGTGGAYATAGTCCTCGGAGGTGTTGGGGTAGTCAAAGTTGATGACAAATTTCACATCCTCCACATCTGTAAGATGACGTTGCAGTGTGGCAGAAAAGAGGGCAGCACACAGTTGTGTACCAGAGCCACCACAACAAACAGATCAAAAAAAAAAGATACCAAGTTAGTCTCACTGTGGGCTGGAAAAACTGGTTAACGCTTCAGGCTGAAATAACAGACATTAAAACCTAACCTACATGGAAACTATTTACCCAGAAGTCAGCGTTCACTAATCTATTCCCACTGCAGAACAACCCCCCCCCCCCACATTTTTTCAAGTGACCCTACAGGTGTCCACTGTCTCTTGCCATGAACCTGTGGACCAGAACCCATTGTCTCACGTTGGCAGGTCTCGACATGACTTTGAAACGCAGGCGAGGGAGGAATGTGAGCATGGATTTTGTCCAACTACCATGTTGTACTGTCACCAAAAGCACCAGTAGCCGTGTCATTAACAGAGGTGAAGGTATGATCGGGATCACAGACTGCTCTTCAGACAGTACCCATGCTTTACCGGTCTGAACAAAAAGCACCTTCTAAAATGTCTCGCAATGCTGTGTCCAAATCTACAAGCAAGACGATAGGAGACAGCCTCGTCGAGCTTTATGCTGGGACAGTTAAGAGCCTGGGTGTGTGAAGCAGTCTGACTGAGAACAAAGATTTGGGGGGAAGAAATCTGGCCAGTTCTCAACTCTTCCCCCGGTTTTTAGGCAGGCCAGCACATTACGCTTCGATTGGGCCTGGTCCCCTCTGCATGACTGGGAGACCCATGCCTCACCAGTCTGGACACCCCCAAGAATCCTCCTCCCCCCCTCTGGTAGAGCTGTGCGGTATGTGCAGTATGATAGACGGTAGAAACGGTATGAAGYTGGCCTACGGTGGAAATTTACCCTCAACCGTCCTATCGTCATTACGTCACCACACCTGTGTGAACAGGGCTGYGAGTGCAGAGACACCTGAGCAGGAGTTCAAAATATAATGAAGAAATTARTGTTTTAAAACACGTAAAGAGAATAAATCCTCAAAATTTCCCCCATCCGCTGTAGAAAAGTTACGTCGGGATCATTTCCTTCCTCCCGAACTCCACGTCGCGCAGAGCGAAGCTTTAATAACAATTTTTTCACACCCAAGTTGTCGAAGAAAAAAAACTTGTTTTTACGTGTCGTTACCCATCACGGAGATAATTTAAAAAAAAAAAGACGTGGACGTTCGTTCAGTCATAAATCCATTTGGCCATCTAATCCATCCATCTAATGTAATGATGATGATGATGATGATGATGATGATGAACGCAGCAGAGCAGAAGCTCATTGTAAGGCCGGCTGATATTAAAGCAAAAATGCTGGGTTTGATTAAGATTAGTTTTTTACAAAAACAAAACAAAAAAAGCTCTAAAAATTACATTATCTTTATTTTTTATGATAGTTTCCTTCCACGATATATACCGTTACCGTGAAGGGATTCAGTTTATACTATGGGTGTAAGAAAATATCGATACACTGAAATATCGCAATATTTCATTTCCAGATACTGTATCGATATTCTAAAGCCCTGTATCGATTTTTATTAAGGTTTAAAATGCCAACTTCCCTGCCAGCCGTTCATTTTTATTTTGTAGTTCAGCCTCTGACCACTAGTTGGCAGCAGTGAGCCTGGCTCACTGCTGCCAACTAGTGGTCAGAGGCTGAACTACAAAATTAAAATGAACGGCTAGTTGGCAGCAGTGAGCCAGCCATTTGGCTCCTCTACCTTTTCAGGTAGAGGCTATTATTAAGTGTTGGGTGACCATATTGTAAATTAAAATTAAAAACTAAAAGCTGCAAAAAATATATTTTCAAACTATTTATTGTGTCAAATTTAGTCTAATAAGAAAACATGGATGAAATATGAAAAATAAAATAAAACACATACAAAGCAGAACACAGCTAAATG